TTCTTTGTAAAAACTTCAATTGAATTTCAATAAAGTTAAAGGCATGGCCTCACCGTTAATATTTTAAAAAAAAAAATAATAGCTAACAATAATATATTTTGGCCTAATATCTTACAATACAATCTTCAACTATTTAAATCAATTTTGGTCTCATATTCTTAATATATTACTTTCAAAAAACAATTTAGAAAACTTAATATTTTATATCTTAAGCAATTTTGCATTACAGATAATACTTTTTTACCTTAGTGAAACTACCTTTTACCTTACTTAGTATAGCTATCTAAGGAATTTAAACCATTTTGGTTTACTTATTTAGAAAATACTGTGATTACTAACAACAGTTCCAGAATACTTTTTTTACATTATCTATAGTCTGAACATAATTCTTTTGCTTACAATTTCTAACACATCTCTAAAAAACTTAAACTTTGATTATTTAAATATAATAATAATATTATTATTATTAGTAAAATTTATAAATATTTTAAAAATGATAATTAAACATCTATTATATACTAAAAAACTAATATTGATTCAAACTTCAATTTCTTGAAAGAGTTTCTTCTAATTCACTTAACTTTAATGTAAACTATATTAATTTGATCTATTCAACTGCAATTAAATATTCTTCATTCTTATCTTCTGCTTCTACTATTTATATTTCTAATTTCTTTATATCAGAAAAAGTAAAGTTACAAATATACTTAAACAATATTCTTTTACTAATTCAATTTAATATATATTTAATTTCTATACTAATAACCTAGTAATTAATATCAGTACAAATTAATATACAATAGGTATTAGATGAATATAAGTTAATATTTTAACTAAATTATTTACAAATTCTTAGCTAAAATCTATTTCTGGCCACCCTCTAACAAAGCTGAATTAATGTCAATTCTTTCAGCTATTTTAATAATATTCTACAATTTAACAATTAATATTTTTATTAACTCTTTGTTAATAATTACTAAATATTTTAAAATATATACTACTTTCTTAAATTTCAACAAATTTTTCAAATTTAGCTCATAGTATATATGACATATTCTGCTTAATATCATCAAATTTTATAATTACCAAATTAACTTTTACAAAATACTAGCTCACTCTAATAATACTCTTAATAATTTAGTTAATTTATTAGCAAAACAATACCTTTTATTATTATATTATATTTTAATTATACAAATATTTACAATTTATATCATATAATCTTTTGAGACTAACATTTTATTAAGTACCCAACTAGAAGTTTCATTAAAAATGTCTGCAGAACCAACATTTTAGCAATATGATTCTTTTAGAAATATAATATAAAATAGAACTCTCTGGTTTTTCAAATTAACTGAAGATCAACTTGGTTATATTTTAACTATAATCAAAAAGCAATATATAATATTACTAACTTTAAACTTAACTTTCTTAGATTATTCAAAATTAAAACTTTATTAAATAAACTTTCTACTTATTTCTACTTTTACAAAACCTATTTACATATATTTTAAAATGCTAACTGCTTTTATTACAACTTAATTAACTTTTTAACTCTCTGGCATACATGCTCAAACTTATTACTTATCTTTAATATTATTCAAATCAGTATATTTGAATATATTAACAATACAAATCTTGATTTATCTATAAACTAATAAAAATAATTTATTTACAAAATTAGTAACCATTATGCTTTCTATTATTTATCTTTTTAAACAAACTCATACTATCTTAATATTATACTTAAAGGACTTATTCCTAAATCTTTAATTAATACTATACAAAACTTTAATATTTCATATAAGCTATTTTATAATTAATAATTGCTATTCTGTTTAAAATTAATGAACTCTCTTATGAAAACTATACTGTATAAATTTTGCTAATTGAAAACAACAAAGACTTAAATCATCTTATTTTTGGTCTTTATCTCAATCAAGCAAAGTAACAAAAAAAAACTCTAATTATAAAAATTATACTTATTTTTGTTTATATGAACTACTTGACCAACTACACTTTAACTCTAATACCTGTTAACTTATTAGTTATGCTGTTTGTAAAATTAACATTTGGACTATTCTTTAGATTAAATATAATATTTTCTATAATTATATTCTAAACTTACAAATCTAGATAAGTTTTGACTACTTTAGTAGATTTAGTTATAAATAAATATGTCTGAGCTTTTATTCTTGAATGTAATTTTTCTTTTATTTGTACTTAGAATAATAGTTATATAATTAGCAATTTAATAGTTTAACCCTAATAGCAAGTGTTGGTTTTAATCATAGCATTTATATAGAAAATTACTTTTTATATATAACAACTTCATGTAGCTGCTAACTTTTAAATTACCAATAAAGATATAAGTAAGATCTCATTTTAATACCAAATATATATATATATATATAATGACTTAACTAAGTTGATAAGTTGTCAACTCTTAAGTAATAAATTTAGTATTCAATTTCACTTATAATAAAATTTGAAAAACTATATTTGTGTTATAGTAAACTATTTTTTGATAATTAGTTAGATTAATACATTTATAATTTTAAATATATTAGCTTAAATAGAAACTCTACATTTATACAAAATATAACATTACACAAATATAAAAAATGTTTATGATATTATACAAGACTTTAGTATAAACTTATAATAAAATTATTAGATATAAAAAACTAAAAAACTAAAAAAAATGAAATCTTATTTGAAAATTTCTAAATAAAAAAATAATATAAGCTTTAAACAATATTACTAGACTGATAAAAACCTCAAAAGAATAGCAGATAAACCAAATAACAGATATGTATAGAAAAACATATAATTAACTAGGTTATCAGAACTTGTTAAAAAAATTTCTTAAATATATATCAAGAATTTAGTAACAGGTCTATTAAGCTATTTAAATTGATAATTTGAAAAGTTTTATTAATTTAGAGTAAGAAGACAATTTCAGAAAGATAATGTGATTATGGATATTGTGATACCAAATATCATAACCAATCATGTGAAAAATGCATGAAATGCAATAAGTGTAATAAGTTACATTTAAGATAGGAAACAGTATTTTGGATCCAGAAGGGTAGATAAGGAATAAGAGGAGGATGTGAAGACAAATTACACATCTTTAAAGATATTAAATAAATCACTATAAATAGTTTTAATTAGTTTTAAGGAATAATAAGTGTAAAAGTTGCATTTGTAAGCAATGAATTTAGTATTATAAATAAAGGTCAAGATAGCCCTTAGAAGCAGTATGCTTCATTTGCTTTATTAAAATAAATCCCAATACACTACATTGTACATAATAAACACTAACACTATCACCGTTACAAACCCTGTGAACCCCCATAACGTCGCTGTTCAAGCCCTTGACCACGTGACTTACACTATTTGCATTCGTTGACCCAAAGTAACCGAAAGCTTTAATCGCCCACTAGCCAAATCTAACACCCTCCTTCGAAAAGGCTACTTATCATACGTTACGCGAGGTATTGAATTGTGGAGCGACAGAGTCGCAGTTATCGCAACCCAACAATAGGTACTGAGGTCTTAGTAAATTTACAAGAGCAGAAATAGTTTAATAATAGCAGTTTAACAGAATATATGTGTTAACCTAACTATAGCATGTTACATAAAACTAGGTTAGCTGTATATAGAACATAAAAAAACTCTAAAAGTAATTCTAAGAATACTGATATGCATTGGGACTTTATTCATAATAACTTGAATAAAAATCACTCTATGAAAACAGAGACTTTAACACAAAAGAAAAAGCTAATAATACTAATTAAATATGTAATAAAGTCCAAAAAAACCAAATATGAAAAAACATTTTTATTTAAACTTTTTTTTCTTGCAAAATAAATTTAAATTAAACACGCCGTGATAAATAATCCTTTCTATTTTACAAATTTATATTGCGCAAATTTCTTATTTTGAAGCGAGTTATAATGATAAAAAGAGAGATGAGCTGCTAAACACACTTAAAACATTGGTTTGTTTTTATCAAATAAATAATTATAAAACAAAAGTTCATTGTTGCGAAATAATATTTTTAATTTCTTGAAGACATTTTGAAATTTTCAATTTAAGTTCTGGACTAATGTTATCATAAGTACGTGGTAAAAGTGGCCATTCTTTAGCCACACGTTTTCGGATAGTGTCAAAATCGTCCCATTCTGATATTTTACCATGATCGTAAACCACACGTAGTAAATTCTCAGGATCATTTTCAGCACAAGCCTCTTTTGGATAAACAATTGGCACCTAAGACAGGAAAATAAAAATTCAGAAATTCGGAATAAAGGGTGCAAATAAATGGATATAATCAGAGCACTTGACTTACACCGTGTTCATTTTTCTTTACAACAAATTCACCAGGTAAACTAGTTTTACTGGAACCTGTCTTAGGAGCCTTCATAATATCTCTACAAATTTAAGACATATAAAATTGGGTTAATTATCTAAATGATAATGATATACAATTAGAATCTAAACAAACCTTTGTGTTCCATCAGCATAAGTAATGTGACATAATTTAGTAGCGAAACTCATAGTATCACGATTAACTTTTTGTAATAGACCAGCACCCATACCAATAGTTATGTTTTGTACTGAATAGCCAGCTTCTTTGACAGCATTTAGAATGTTCTTCATACTTTCAAAGGTTACAGCATCACCTTGAACAACAGAACAACCACGAAGAATTTTATAACCTTTTTTATTTGTATAACTTCCAAATACTTTGTCAGCAGCCCTGAAAACCATGATAAATTTTTTTTAAAAATAGATAATATATGATTAAAAAAGATAATAAACCTACCTGAGCGCCATTAAAACTACTTCTATAGGATCACCACTATCAGGTCTAAGAATCATTACACCACCTTTTTCAAGCTTTTGAGCAGCGACCGATGGCAAAATATTATTCAATGCATTGGCATAATCAAAGGAGTCCATTACACAGGCATAGACACCGGAGCCGAAACGTCTGATTGTATGTAAAATAGCATCCTAAATATTGAAAATAAGTGTTTTTTTTTTTAAAAAAAAAAAGAATCGCATGTAAATGTGTATAGATATGTGTGTATATACACAAGTCACTATCTTTATAGCGAAGTATTTCATTAATAAAATTTCACTGTATTGAAAGTTATATAAGTAAATTCTCCTTAATAAGACCAATCAGATTTTACTTAGTTCTTGATATATCAAAGATTTCACTATAATAAGAGAGACTTGTATATATAATAAACATACTTTTTCAGATTTGTGTGCAGTCATAACTGAATGCTCTGTGGAAGGAACGGCAGTTCCAACAGGTTTTCTATTATTGAGTTTAAACTGGACATAGTAACTAGCACTCATCGTAGCAGATTTAGTGAAATTGACCTTTTTAAAAAATATAATACCGGTAAATATTCATAAATATAATTTAAAATAGTTATAAAAAAGTGTAACAAACCAAATGGGCAGATCCACCGATTATAGACTGTTCAAGGCAAGTACATCCGCGGAAACCAAAATCGTATAATCGACTTGAAATTTTTGGGATGAATTTAAAAAGGACATATATCGCACATACTATACAGAAACTTGAATATCTTAATGCGCAGTGACTACATAGAAACTATGTGGTAACTATATAGTTACTATTAAGTTTAATAGTGTTACTATACAGTTACTACGCAGTTACTGTGCATTAAGAAATCCAAGTTTCTGTAAAGTAGTAATAAGTAAATATTTTAACATATATTTACCCTTCCAGTGTCCCGTAATCTTCTTCATCGACAGTATCAAAATATGCTTGTTCAATTATATCACGTGCACGTCGTGAAAGTGTTGCCACAGTGGATGGATACTTTGCCACAAACAAAATAAATTATTACAGTTAAATATGTGTAAATACACATTAAAAATAATAATATGATTAGCAAGAATACCCAAGTCATAGTCATCAAAGTTTCCATGAACGTTACCAACGGAGCATATTCTTTTTCAGCAATAATTTGATAAACGGGTGTATGTACATGGCAAGAAGTACCTTCCGGTAACGCTTCGATTTTTATAGGAAAATAACCATCATTTTCTTCAATAAACTAAACAATAAAATTGATAATTAAAATATTGCACAAACTTCTATAAAATATCATAACCATTAAAAAAGTTTAATTTGTAATTCGGGAGAGATTGGGGATATTAAATAATAAAAACCATTAATACCTATAATCTGGAGCCGGAATTGAGATTTCTCAATTTCTTCCAAGCTAACCTCTTAAGTCAGTTTTTCTTATCAAGATAGTGGCAAAATCATCAAAATTGTCCTACTCGATCATGAGATATTGTTATTTATATTTTTGTAATCATAAAATTTCTTTGCAGGTATTATTTCACGATCTACTAGGCCAATTTTGATAATCTTTCATTATTAGAATATGAAAAGCTACCTTTACAATTTTTATTAGATGTGCTTAAGATGTTAGCTTAGCGGAAATTGAGAAATTTCAATTTTCGGTACTAGATTATGGGTAGTAATAGTTTTTATTATACTTAATATTAACATTTATATATTGTATTACTATGGTAATTCTTTACATCTCTCACGAATTATAAATAAATATTATTGACAACACAACGTTTTTGAGATACCTTAAGAAATAAGTCTTTTGGAAAAGGAAAACTTGTGTAATTAAAATTATGAGTTTCATAGAATTCTTCAGCTAATTCGATATCTTGTAAAGTCCATTGTCTAGCAACGTAATTTTCAATTCTAATTCAAATATACCAATTATTTGTAATTGGATAAATTGGGTAATTTCAAAGTTAACATATTATATAAGAACTCACATGTATCGAAACCCATAAAAGAGGATACGAGTATCTTCCTTGTCATTATTATACCCAGACCTAAACTCACCATATGCAACACACTTCTCAAATATATATTATCGTTATTATGTACGTCAATGTTATACAAATCAAATCAATAAATAAAAAAAAACCTTGTTTGCTTCAGGATACAGAAATGCGTGAGTAGCTTTATAAGAATCTGCAAGTATAGCAAGTGAAGTACCAAGAAATCCGGACATTTTGAGAGAAGAAAGAAAATAAATAAATAATTAAATAAATAAGGATAAAAACGAAAAAAAGCTGGCTATTAATAAGGATTATCAATCGATTTTGAAACCAACCTCATTTCCCGACAGCTAAGGTTAGCCCGATTTAAAATCATAGTTGGCCTGATTTAAAATTAGCTTTGGTAGAAATTAAATGTCGGGAAAATCGTACATAGGATGGCTCAATGCAATGCGGCGTACGTACGCCATCTCTGCATACGACGGTTTAGTATAAATTGAACACCGTTCTTTCTATATCTATTCAAATATCATATGGCTATTAAAGCGAATTTGAAGTTTACTTTATTTAAATGGACTTAACAATAAGTAAAATTGATCTTTTAACATCACCTACCAGTCCGTCTATATTAGGTATACTTTCATGAAATTAATTACCGTTACTACGTATCATCGTCATAAGGTGAATTCAAAAATCAGATAATTGAATATAACTTCTTTTTTGCAAATGCACGTACTGTTACACCCGAACTTCTTTTTTTAAGTTCGGCATAACTTATTAGTCAATTCACGATCCATGTCAATGTCAAGTTTAAATTGACATACTCTATTTTAAAATAAGATAGTTGCGTGACACTATCACACAAAACCAGGAACGGGAGACGTGAGGAATATCGGTATTGCATTTAGTAAATTTATAGGTCGTCGCACTATTGAACATGTGATGTATGGTGACGAAGGACAAATAAATTCTTAGGATCATATATAGAATGCATGATCAGAAAGATTTAAAACAAACGTTTGTTGCCAAAAATTTACCTAATAAAAGAATTTTTCCAAAGATTCACCGTCTTATTAATTTTAACTTAAATACAAATGTTAGTTTATAGGAATGTGTTTTAAAGCATTTTGCATTACTTGAATGTGTGCCAGGTCGTGGTGCAACAAAAATTCTTTAAGGCTTGTTTATGTTAGGGGTAGAGTTCAAGTTTAGGAATTAGAAGGGAGTAGTTTAAACAGTAAAGTTGGTCAACGAAAACTTTTTTTAGAGTACTAAAGGTGGTTATTTACGCTGATTTTTGAGAAATAAGTAATTTTTGGCAAAATAAAGGTTTGTTTTATATTTTCTTGATAGTGTTAAGTTCTACTTGATCTTGGAATCTGATTCGTAATTTAGGAAATCTAAGAATCATTTGAATGCGTAAGAATTATTTAGTGATATACGTACGTATAATAAGTTAGCATTCGTACTGTAATACACATGCTCGTACAATTAGAGAAATCTAGATATAGGCTGCTACACATAGAAAGAGAAGCTCGCAAATTAGGAAAATCAAGTTGCATATAGACTAAAAACCCAATACACAATTTCTAATTACATAACTATAGAATAATAAATATAGAAATGAGTAATCATATGATGCATAGAAAAAGAAATAAACAATAAAGAGTATGTATTTGTTCAGAGACACTTGACTTGCCACTTAATCATGCATTCTGTTCCTGGTATAAGAATAAGTAATACAAATGCAAGGGAAGGGTTCTACAATGTTTTTATTATAATAGATCTTCTATGTTTTTTCTGACATAGACCTATAAAATTTTGGATAGTTTTCAGATATCCAGGTATTAGTTGCCTCCTATAAGTCTTCTTCAGAAGGATAGATAGAATATTTTATCATTTCTTTTGTAATTGTCTAAACTGATTGTTATTAATTAATTTAAAATATATTATAAAAATTTAATTTTATTACAAATATTTACACATAATGTAAGAATTATTTCAATAGTCTAATAAAATCATTTTCTGTTAATAAATTATAATATTCAGAAATTTTATCATTCAACTTAGTTAGATATTTTTTTATATGATCAATTTTCTTGGATAATTCTGTTAGTTTTTTTATAATTTTTGAAAAAAAAATTTCTGAATTATATAAAAAAATTAAATTAAAAATTATTTAAAAATTAAATATATATTAAAAAAAAAAATTTTTTTTCTGAAAATTACAAAATTATGAAAAAAACAAATAATAAAAAAAATTAAACAAATATAAATAATTAATAAGACTTTAGAATAACAGATAAAGTAATAAAACTAGACTGTAGCACTAATACAAGACAAGATAAAGTATAAAAAAAATATAGCAGTAACAAAAAACAAAATAATTGAGCAATAAACTCTTGAGCCAACATACAACTTTATATTTGAGGCAGCAAAACAAATCAAGATAGAAAGCTATAATACTAGAAGCAAAACTAGCAGTAACAATAAAAAAAAACCTTAAAAAAAGACAAAACAGATACAAATAGATAGCTACAAAAGTAAAGAAACTTTGCACCAACTCTGCTTTACTATATAAAAACCAAAAAGTAGCAAAACTGATATACCCTTGATAAAATTAAAAATAACATTATTTTTAGATAATAGCAATAAAACAAAACTAAACCAAACAGATTTTAATAACAACAAAACAAAACTAGACCAAACAGGTTTTAATAACAATATATTAGAAATAGAAAAAGACAACAATAACCTATCTGAAACAAATAACAACAATCAATCAAACATAACTATATAATAAATTAGCAGCATGAATATAGTATCTAATTAAAATAGTATAATAAATTTATAGAAATAGGCAAAAGATTACAACAATGAAGCATTATCAACTAAAAATTAAAATACAGTACTATTAGCAAACAGTAATGACATGGAATTAGAAGTTAATATATAACAAAAACATAGTAGTACAATAGCAGAGCAACTAGTAACACAAGTAATATATAGCCAAATAATACAAAAAAACCTAGTACAGCTTAGTAATAGACAAAGCACAAAGCAGAATGATTATACAGAAAATTGAATACAAGAAATTAATAAAAAACTAAAGAAAAAAATAGACCAAATTTTTTAACAAAACTTAATAGAATTATAACAAAATTATAATTGCACTTCAAAGCAAAGAAAGAATTCAAGAATTTATTCAATATAAGATGCAAACTAAGCCTACAAACCAGGCATTACATCTAGCAATTGAAAGTAAATTTTGATATAGAGATGTTACCTTCTTTCTTATCTTTATGAAAGAAAAAAAATCAACTTCACAGTATCCAAAAGCCTATAAAACCTTTTTTAAAAAATTCTAAAAAAATATAAAACAAATAACAAGATAACTATAACTGATAGACAAACAAGAGAGCTAATTTACCAAAAGTTATAACAAAAAATTATAATTAATTATCTAACTAACATAAAGTTTTACAAAATATCAACAAAGCAAATTTACTATTTTATTAAATACTACAAAGAATTTACTAAAAACAAAACAATCAAAAACAATAAAGAACTATATAAAATAGTACAAAAAATAACTATATTACAACTCAAATAACTATTATCAGATTTTAGTTAAATCTCAAAAAACATAACTCAGATAGTTTTCTTTGATCTGTTAATAAAATAAAGAGTTCATACTAAAGCAGTTACTGCAACACTATATAGAGTATGCCAGTTTGACAAACTACCAAAAACTTATTTTATATTATTAGCAACATTACCAAACAGAATTACTAATTTAAACTCTAAAATAAAATACCTATTTATAATTACAAAAAGAAGTCAACTCAAAGAACTTATAGACATAATTAGACAACTAAAAAACTACTATTCTTTTAATAATATCACAAATAATTATTTTAATTTACTACTATCAAAAAAACTATTGCCTATAGCTTATTAAAATCTAAAACCTTTATATAGATTGCACTTTCTAATAGTTTATAAAATCTAGACACAAATCTTAAAAAAACAATTCAAATGCTCAAAAGACTATTTTTTTGAAAGACTATATAATGATTGCTTTTTAGCAAAGCCAACTTACTAAAAAAAACAAGAAAATCTAAACAACTAATAAGTTTACATATTTAATAACAAACAAAATACAAGCAAAAAAGTTTATCTAACAAATTAGACCATGGTACAAGTTTTTACTTTCACTATTCTTTAATATTATGACAGCAAATCTAAAAAAAAATCAGATCTACCAGAAAACCCACAAGAAATAACATAATATAATATAATACTCCTAATAACAACACTTAAAAAACTAGTAACAACAGCAAGATTGCTAAAAGAAACCTACTACTTTTATAGAATTTCAATAACATGGATTCAAATAAATTAACAAACAAATTAAACACAACCTAAAACAATAATTATAAATATACAAAGCAAGTCTAATATCTCTTAGACTCTAATAGAATTGTAAGAAAACTAGAAAAGATTACAGATTTTATATACATCAACATACCAATAAACCAATAAGAAGACATCACAAACACTTTAACAGTTCTCAAAGAGCACTTCTATATTAAAACAATACCTGATTACTTATTATAACTATTACTATTTCTAGAAACAAACTATGATATTTTTACTTAAACCAAATACTAATACAAACAAATATAACAAATATGAATAATCTAAACAAAACATCAACTGAATACAAAAAAAATTACAACATATTAAAAAATATAAAAATTTTAATACACAATATTCAAGATGCAAATAACAAACTAAAAATGCAAATATGACTAATATTCTGTTACAAAAACAACTATAACATAGTTAATATAACTGAAACAAAACTTACAGAATTAACTTACACAAAATTTAAACCATCAAACCCCTACTATGATATATATACATTAAACAATACTAGTAAAATAGCAAAAAAAAACAAAAATTAAGCATAGGTACTGCAATAACAGTATTCAAGTTTTTCTAATTATATATATACAATATTTAAACACTAACAGATATAGCAATAGTAATTAACTTCTTCTTTTTACAAAACCAAAAAATGAGAATAATATCTGTTTATCTACTTTTCAATAACAAAAAGTTAAACCAAATTCACAACAAGAAATTATTATATAGATCAACTACAGCTATATGCATAATTACAGTACTATAGTTTTTGGTAACTTTGATTATAATAAACAATAATATA